TATATATATATATACAGTATATACATTGTTGATCCCATCTTCATGTAATAGACATAATAAGCCTCATTATGCTTTCCAGGCAAAAAATGATCAACCCTTTATACCAAACAACAAATCAAACATATGGAAGCAAAAAACCAACAGTTCATGAAATGCCGGTGAGTATGCAGCACACACTGCCCTATTGTTAATATTATTCAGACAATAGTATTTGCACATATTGTTTATTTTTCAGACAACCTTTAACGGAAGTCGTCGGAAATTTTCTGAGCATCTTCTGAGAAGTGGCATGTACAAGGATAACGGCTTCAACACGGCGCTGGACAAGAGCGGACTCACTGGACCCGATGCAACGACTGCGTTTCACGACAGAATCAATTTCCATTACTTATACCACACAGATGGGAAATCTCAGTAAATACAATCTCCATTTTGTATGTACAGTAATAAACAAGTCAAGCTAAATTGTGATGTATACAAGGATAGTTACTTACCCTCATGTTGTTCCAAACCTATATGACTTTCTTCTGTGAAACATAAAAGACATTTGATGTTTTATGTCAGTGGGTTCAAATGTTGTTTGGTTCCCAACGTTCTTCAAAATATCTTGTTTGGAACGACACGTGATGATGGATTCCAAGACACTTCCTGTTGAATGAATAAGAAACACAACTACGTCAAAAATGTCAATATAGTTTCTTTTATTTGGTGTAGTAGAGTGAAATTCCACAGTAGACCTGAACGTAAATGTCCAGGGAATATTCTCTCAGTGTGTGACCCTCACACACAGTGGAAGCCATCAAAATATAATCCACAAGTTTTAGAAGCACTTTGAACCAATATGTGGAGGTAAAGCGGACCAATGTACAATCAAGCGTGTTAAAAACGTAATGCGGTGGGGTTGAAATAAGACAAACCGTGACAACAGCAATTTCAATCACTCGATCCAACCAGCATCGACCTGATTGGTGAAGCGTCCCTTTGGAAACTCGTCAGTCGTTGCTGTCGCTACACTGAGGATACGGGCGGATGGTATTAAGGGTTTTGGTGTTGACTTTTCCCTGTTTTTCCTTGGAGCTGTAAGCAGCAAAAATATTGTCCAGAGGGCTGGATTGTCAAGTCCACAAACCTCCAATGTTATTCGTAAAGTAAAAGGCACTTCAAAATGTTGTAACAAAATCCAGTGTATTGTCTTACATCATATACATACATGATCAGAAATGAAGGAATGCAAAGACAGTATAAACCTTAAAGAGAGTGACGTTTTAAAACAGTTTTGCTTCATCAGGCTTATAAAAAGAAAGTAACAAAAAGCTGGTCTGTAGCATACGACAGGTTTAAGGTTTTCATGGGGCGAAGAGAGAGAGAGACTCGTGGCGGGACGTTTCTGTTGCGTTGCAGAAACGTAAAAAATTGCATAGGCAAGAAAACATGGTTCTTGGATCACACGGAGGGAAACAAAACTAATGCAAACGTTGCGTTGCAGAAACTTAAAAAATTGCATAGGCAAGAAAACATGGTTCTTGGATCACACGGAGGGAAACAAAACTAATGCAAATAGATATATATAAAAACAGTAAGATTCTGTCCTCATGGACAGAAAGTTGAACTTCTTTGAAGTGAAAAAGACAAATATACGTGTGGGAAACTTAAAAGCAAATGGGACTTCCAAGTCAGCAGCAGTTTTGGTGCAGGGCGGCACCCCGGTGGAATGGTGAAGCTGTGCGGTGAGCCGAAGCAGAGCAACTCTACAGCTCAGTGTCCTGATACTTTTGTGAGGTGGTGTAATAGCCACGCTGGGTCTGCTCTGCCAGCTGATGTCGAAATTCCTCTCCAGGCTCCTTTCCAAGGGCAAGCGGGCGGCTCTCTGTGTATGGCAGCTTGCAAGGAGGCGTCTGGGGCTCTGGTCGCGCACTGGAGCTGGACACAAGGCAAACACAGCAAGATCAGTGAAAGACTGAGTGCACTTTTTCACACTTAGAGGGACAGGAAGCAAAAATTTAAATTCTGTCATTTACTCGCCCACCCAGTTAGCCATAGACTTCCATAGTATTTTTTTTTTTGCATACTATATAAGTCAATAGCTACCAACAACAGTTTGATTAGCAATGTTTTTAAAAATATATTCGTTTGTGTTCAGCAGAGGAAATAAATTCATACAGGTTTGGAACACCTTGAGGGTTGAGAGTTAATGACGACACAATTTTCATTTTTGGGTAACCTAACCATTTAAGGTACGGTCACATTTATTCAGCAAATTTTTGTAGGTGAAATCTAGTCGGTTAAATAGGAATCCATGCAATTGGGAATTTTACGTGAGGGTGTAAGATTTCACAACAATTTTGAGTTGGTCATGCCAATTTGCCAGGTTAACCAACAAAAAAGCTGTGTGGTTTGAAAGTAACTACTGTGCGAGCAGTGCTTCATACATTGCTACACCATTGACAATAGACAATACTGCTCCAGACTTTTACCCAATAGGTTGAGGCCTGCTGTGGTCCAGTTTCTGAGACTTCATAGGGACGGCATAGATGTCTGGATGTTTCTGAGCAATCTCCAACTGAAAACAGACAAATTGAACACATCAGAATATTATATGAATATTTTGGCAGAAAATTAGTAAATAAGAACAACAATTTGCTGCATGAAATTGTTTATTATTATTATTTGAGGACACATTCTCTTTCAAGAGTGCATTTTATTGGACAACATTTTTATATGCAAAATGAATCATCAATATTTTTGATCTGTTTTTCCAGAAGAGAAAGGGTGCAAATTTGAATATAGAATTTTTATTCTTTCTCTGTCAAACTATATATTAATTTTAAGTTGTGTTTGTCAAGCTACCTAGCATATAGATGATTGCACAGCTAATACACATCAATAAAGCATAAAAACTCAAAATTTCAATAAAAATTCCATACATTTTAATAAAATTCCATTCAATTTATTTGTATAGCACTCAATATACTGTTAATGCACAGTATGTAAAAATATTGTCCCAAAGCATCTTTACAGACAAGACGTAAATACAAGAGATACAAGATCAAAGATACAAGATCAATGGAAAATAAAATATATAATTAATAACAAAAATTTTAAATTAAACAATGATTGAAAAATTAAAC